ATGATTCCAAGCCGATGATATACTTAACTGTCTGTGTCCCCCCCCTCCCCAAACTCCCACCAGCTATGCCTGTTCTCCTACAGGAACAGACTGCCTTGATGGATTCTTCTTTGTTGCCAATACTTCATCAGAGGATGGAAGATGATTTGACAGGCTATAGTATTATATTCTTGTACAGGTAGTCCTTATTTAGCAACTGCCTCATTTAGCAACCATTCACAGTTTTGACAGTGATGAAAAAGTAACTTTAACCCAATCCTCATATTTGTGATCTTCAAAGATCTGTAAAGCAAGGAAAACTAAAACAAGATAATAAGCACAATCGTGGCTTAGTTAATGACCATGTAATTGAACAACTGAGTTGCTGGTCCCAATTTTGGTTGCTAAATGAGGACTTCCTGTATCGACATAGGGTTGGTATACATGATTTCTAAGATACAAGCCAACCTTACATTATATGATTTTTTCCTATTATTGGCTTTTTCACTAAACAGTGATTTATTTTAGTCAAAAGCTACAACTGGATAGGTTTGCACAGCATACTAACCCACAAACTACAGTTAATAAAATGCAATGGCTGGGTTTATGAAAATAAGATTTTCCCAAGGTAGAGTTGTCCAGCTATTTTGGACTCCAATGTCCATAATAGTCATTTAGTATGGCATGTAGGTCACTTGAGAAAGAAGGCTGATCTGAGAGCAGTAAATGATTGGCATCAATGGAGAGAATGTGTCTTTCAATCCTTAGGCTACAAATAATTTGTGTTACCACCAAACATCCAGTTTCCCCACAAGCTTTGAAACTTCACTAGTACTTCTGAATATAAAATACATTTATGGAATAATTCACAAGTACTACTTTCATCCTTTTAAAAGCAAACTTCAACACATGATAACAATAAGGGGATGGACTGACAATTAAGTGAATTAGAGAAATTGCTGATACATAGTATTGATATAGGGTTGGACCAATTCATAGATGTCATGGGGATTAATGACTATTGGCTTTGATGGTATTAGAACCAATTCTGAAGGACAGCAGATTAAAGGGCTCCTTTGTGCAGTTGTGAGAACAGATTACTAGACTAGATGATTTGGACTCTGATTCAGCAGCGCACAACATATGTTCTTATTCATCTATTTTTAAGAGAAACAAGATCTGAGCAGGCAGCACAACAGAATAACAGAACAATTTTTACTAGGAAAACTGGATTAATCTCATTTTGCAAACGATCAAGGTATATAGTAGGATGACATGCAAATTGTGAACTGCCTTGGCTACTATGAGTTTTACGTATAAGACATTCAGAAAGCAGATACTTGAGATGGGTGACTTATATAAATCTATTAAATATATGTTAAAAGTGGTAGTTATTGTGGGGTCAATGAAAGTGGGATTCAATTCACAATTGTTTGTGCCACAATGATTTGGTTTAGTCTTTGAGGTGCTACAATTCTCTTTAATAGCTTTTAAATTAAGGAACCACAGCCCACTAGTGACACTCTGTGGCCTGTTTGAACATTTGAACCTCTACTTCTTTGTACAGACTGAAAATAACATTGCCTCATCCCTAGTGACACTTGGAGAAATTGACCTATTTAGGACAACTCAACTCTTGACAACCTAAGACAGGTCACTGGATCGAACTCCACTTTTTAAGCCTTGGTTTCTGTACTGTTTCCAAGCAGAATTCACACAGCCCTGAAACAAAACAACATAAAATATTGCAGTATCTCTTTTCTTCCTCAAGGGAGTGCTCTTGTTCAGGATTTCACAATTTTTCTCAAACAAAAAGATTCAATTTTTCTCTGCTACCAATGTTCCCTCTCAATGTTCACACCCCTACTTTTTCCAAATATTATTCAACTGTTTCAGGGGTGGGTTGCTACTGGCATTACTGCCAGCTCCGTGTGTGTGCACATTTGCACCTAAAAAGGTCTGCGCATGCGCACGTTAGGAAAGGGGGGGATTATAAATTTTTGCAAATAAGATTGTTCGGCGCATGCGCATAACTGAAAATCAAGATCGCTCAACCGATAGAACCGGTTCAGGGGCGTGGCAGGCCAAGTTACTACCTACTTGGCCGAATTGGTCTGAACTGGTAGGAACCCACCTCTGAACTGTTTCACCCCCTGCTGACCTATTTGGTCCTCAATGGAATATTTGGAGTATTTGTGTTTATTGTCCCATTAAATTTGTTTTCTTGCATGCTCTCCTTTCAACTTCCTTGGACCTGAGGGCAGGGGGCAGCACTGGAATCTCTCAGACATAGTAATATTTTCCTTTTATTTCTCAGTTATTTTGTGTCAGTTCCATTCTTTCATAACTCTACAAGTTTGTTATTAGGCAGAATCTCTTATCTCTAATAACAAGCCTTCGTAGAAGGGAAACACTTCCTCAAACTCAGCTCCTCCAGATGACGATGTGGATACACCCATGCAGTTTCTTCCTAACTTTAAGGAAATTGTTTGCTATTGCTTTTCCATTCTACATTCTACAAAATGTAGCAATATCATACTAACTATATTTTATCTTCTTATCTGCCACAATCCCACTCTTTTTTCTCTCATCACTTGTTGAATAGGAAAGATATAGGACAGTGATGGCCATGCCAAAATTGTGTGCACGTACTATTGCGTGCATGCCCACCCACCTGTGCATGCGCACATAAACCCCTCCCCATGTGCACATGACATGCTGGGGAGGGAAACTCCCAGAGCCTGGGGAGGGAGAAAAACGGCCCAATGGCAAGTTTGGGAATGAACATCCGGTTTGCCCATTGTGTCATTTTTGCCCTCCCCAGGCTTCAGGAAAGCCTCCGGAGGCTTGGGCAATAAAAGAAGCTTTTGCTTGGCTACCCCATTGAATCTTATCATTTCCATTTTGCTAACAACAGATTGGGAACTAACTTGCAAGCTCCCTTCTACTGTACACAAATAAGCCACCAGGTCAGTGGTGAAATTCAAACATTTTCCCTACCGGTTCTGTAGGTGTGGTTTGGTGGGTGTGGCTTGGTGGTCATGTGACCGAGTGGGTGTGGCTGCACAACTGACTCACACACAATGCAAAAGCAGCTGGACTTCACACAAAATGGCCCCTGCAAGAAGCAGGAACCTCACAGACAATCAGGCACAGCTGATTGTCACACAGCTGATTGGTAGTAAAAGAAAATGCTTTTAAAAAAGTTTTTAAAAAGTTCTGATGATTGCCCAGCACAGCTGATTGTCACACAGCTGATTGGTAGTAAAAGAAAATGCTTTTAAAAAAGTTTTTAAAAAGTTCTGATGATTGCCCAGCACAGCTGATTGTCACACAACTGATCATCAGAACTTTTTTTTTTTTTTACTACCAGTTCGGGCGAACAGTAGCATTTCACCCCTGCATCAGGTTATCATATTTAGAGATATACGTACCGTAATCTTCTGCTCTAGCACACTGCTGGCAGGTAAAGATCATAATCTACTGATACTATCCCTCAAAATTATAACCCAATATTTGTTCATTTCTATTTTTTGGTCAAGTGACATTGACAAGCTATTGAGAGCCAAGTGTCCCTGCATTAACTTTTTATGAGCAAAGATGGATAATGCCTATACTTCTCAATGAGCATACTGATTAAAGGTTCAAAGACCAGGCTATAGAAAAACATACACGAGGATGGCAGGGAAGATAGAAATATGCACAACAGCTCTATTATTCTTTCACTGCACTCACACGTCACAGTAAACTGCAATGTAACTTGCTTGATTTCAGCTTGATAGATGAAGCCATCCAGTGTGCTTTACAAATAACATCTATGATAATTATGGGTGAACCCAGACTTAAACTGATACAGCAAATTATTGCCACCAATATACTGTAACTAATATACCATATGTGCACAACTTGAAGTATATTTTATTAGCTATGGTTTACTAAACTTTGTTAAAGTGGTTAAAGCATTAAACTAGAAAGCGGACCACGAGTTCTAGTCCTGCCTTAGGTATAATGCCTGCTGGGCCAATAACTTTCTCTCAGCCATAGGTAAGAGGCAATGGTAAACCACTTCTTAAATCTTGCCAAACTGCAGGGACTTGACCAAGCTGTTCCCAGGAGTCAAAACTGACTTAAACCACCACTCCCTTCCAAAAGTCAAAATCAAGCCAAATATATTATGGCTTTACATGTTATAATAATCAGGAGAGTGAATTCTTCAGGACATTTCCACTAGTGGTTCAATACAATATGTGAAGTCTTTTATTTTACTATTAATATAATGTCACCATAGCTGTATATTTTAAACTGCAATCCTATTCAAATTCAGCTTTATACTAGCTGAGTAAACTACGGTTCCAGTCTTGGGGGAGGGTCATTTCTCAAAAATATCCAACTGGCCATTGCAACAATAGAAGAATAAACCAAATACAACTTTTCTTTTAATCAACCAAGTTGTTATTATCACAATAATCTATATTAACTGGTGCTTACTTCTCAGTAGTTCCAAATAAGATTGCACTGAACTTACATGTTTATAATACATCAAGGCCCCGAAGCCATGGTTAATTCCTCAAAAAGTACAATAGTCAAAAAATACTAAAGGATGTTTATGATGGAAGTAAAATGTATCAATTTTTACCCACTAGGTACTGATTAATATAATCTGTATTATAATTATATGTGGACAGCCATTTCTTTAGTAGTGAATGCTTTCTGCTTCTTATGCTCCTAATTCCAAACTAGTCCAACCAGCTGAAATCATGTGTGCCCTTCCCTTCTTCAGTATTTTGTCCCAATGTACAGGAAATGCTCTCCAACCCACAGCCTTTCGAGCCTAATTTCAACCTATTGATATTGACATGCCATTGTACCATAGAGTTACTAAAATGCTTGTTTCTTGAATTATGATAATTTTGGAGCTTCTTCCTTTCTCAGAGCACAAAGATACCAGCAAGATCCTAAGCCTTTCTCAAGCTGGCAATAAATACCCTGGAGCCGAGGGGGGTAAAAACTGATCAAGCAAGCAAGTTGTAAAGAAAATATTTTATTAAAAATTTTACCGTCAGAGAAGAAATTCAGAAGTTGAGGGCTCAGAAAGCAGTGAAGAGGTACAGAAAGGGAGGGAGAAGGTAAGAGTTAACAGCTGTAGCAATGTGGAATAATCAAGTCAACTGCAAAGCACAATGAGTAATCTCTCGTCTCCTCCCCGCAAGGCACAATGACCAGCTCTGTCATTTCCTTCCCCACCCCAATTTGCGATTTCTCATAGATGCTCAGCCAGTTCTATGCTTGAGGTGGTTTGGCCCTTGGAGCAATTAACAGCTGTCTTCCCTTCAGATAATTCCCTATTAATCATTTATCCTGTTCACTTTGCTGCGGACTCTTCACCTTAGCCAGCAGAGGTTTTACATCCAAGCAAAGAATCCTTATGTACAGTACAACAATAAAACAAAATCTCATGACATCTACAAAAAAAAAGGATATAAACAAAATAATCATCTCATTTGCATCATAGAGTATGTCCAAAGTTATGTACAACTTCACACAGAGTGGATAGGAGTATCCTCACTGGCTTCACACGCTAACCTCCTGTGCTATATAGACAGAGAGGAAGATGATTCAAATTCAAAAGCAAGATTTGGATTTAAAAGTAATATTCAGCTTTGCTATTGGATTCTCAAGAAAGTCAGACAAGAGCTGGGCAATCCACTATAATACAAGCCAACTACAGGTCAATCTGTCATATATTCTTCCACCACTGTGAAATACTTCCTCCCTTTTAGTTCCTGGGAAGATTCAGTGTCCTCAGAAATGTTTGACGTCACGTGTAAACTTGCCAGATGATGGGAATGATCCAAAGTGACCCCAAAGCATAAGCCCTTTATCAAAACAGCCTTCCTTCCACGCATAAGCAAGTTCAGAGGAGTTTTCTATTCATCCTCAAATGATCAGAAATCAAGAAGTGTAGCCTGATCAACTATTTTGTTTTGAGGATGTTTTTGAAAAGAGATGGAGAATTTATTCCAAGCATCTCTATCCATAAAGTGAACCAGTATTCAGGCATAACTGTAAATTATCAGATGCCATAAAATGTAAGACAATAATTTACAAACTGGGATGTAGGTCAAAGTGGGAAGAGGAAAGAGATTAAAATATCTTACCTCAAACAAACAGGAAGGTAAATGAAAACATCACAGGCATCAACCTATATATTTCATACAACATATTTGTGAAAAATTAGGACAAATCTGTATTCTATCTCTATACCTGCTACTTTCTCTATATTTAAGGATGGCTGTGCAAGAAGCAGAGTCTGTCAACTTTCATGACTTTCCTTTTGTCCAAGGATCTTGTGAAAATTAGCTCTGAAGAAAAGCTAATTTTGAAACTGCCCCTATATAAGTATGCTATTTAACTACTTAATGAAATTGTATAGTTGGAGACAAATTAGACAATGAGAAATGTCCTCTTTTCTGTCACAATTTCATTCTAAAAATAAATAGATATGAAGAAATCAAAACAGTAATATTGAACTAGAAATGATAACTAGAAGGTAGGGGAAATCCAGAAGAGAAAGGCAGGCCCAGATTTTCGGCCATGACCTAATTTTTGTTTCCTCTTATATGCATTCAGATCAAATCACAACGTTGTCTGTCTTCCATTTAACAATAACCTAGATATTTGGAATAGATGAGATGAGCTCAGGCCTCAGCACAGACATTAATAAATTTGTGAAAAGGATTCCACTTTTACTTAATTAGTCCATCAAAGTATTCCATCAAAATACAAGTCTCAAAACTGCAAAACTTTTTGTACCAGTTAAAACCCACAGAGGGTGGCTTTAAGGCAACATAGGTTTCCGCTCCCCCCCCCTCTCTCTCTCTCACACACACACACACACACACACACACACTAATGAGTTTTGTGGGAAGAAGAATCTCATTCACCAGATTAAATTATGGTTCCTTCAATAGATATAACAAGTCCTTAAATTTAAAATAACCTTCATTATAGAACTCAGGGAAACATGAATGCAAAATGCCATCCATGTAGTATCAGAGCGGGCTAATCTTCTGGTCACTCCTTGTAACCTTAGAAACTATCACAGGATCAGGACAGGTAGAGCTTGTAAGCAGCTAATGGATAGTCTAAGGAAACATGGAAAAAAAGGAAGGAAAAATCCTTCAATAGATCCCCTCACCGCTCCCCCACCCCACCCCACAAACAAGTATTACAAGCAGTTGGTACGATTGTCCTTCCCAAAAATGGAGGGTAGCTCTACAGAATCAGATGGGCTTTGTGGTGCTGTTGTACACCAGATGTTCTGTGTCTTCAGCAGTTGATAAGACGGAAGAAAGAGTGGAATTAGCCACAGTAGGGGACTGACGACGTCTTCGATAGGTTTTTCGATTCTTTAGGAAGAAGTAGGCAAGGACAGCCAGCACTATCATAATGCAGACACCGAGGAGCACAGCGACGGCCACTTCAAAAGCACCTATGAGAGATGGAGCAGGAGTGGGAGATGGACAGAGAAAATCATGATTATACTGAAATTGTTAGAATGCTTTATTATGCAAAAATTTTAAGATATGTTTTTGCTTTATGCAGGCTGCCCAATCCATTCAAAAACAGATTAAATACTATGTTTGTAGGACGCTTCCTTAAAAAAAATGACAGTATAGGATCAGTCTAAATCCAGCTCTAGGTCACCTTAAGGAAACTATAATTATCACGTAACATTCTTAGATGTGCACACCTGCTGATGTGATATATACAAACAAACTGGGGGTGGAAAGGGAAATGCTGGTCTTAATACAGTTCCTAAAAATTGCTGCGCTTTGATATCTAAATTATACCATACTCCACAAAAACAAAAATGTTTTTAGGGGGGGGAAGGTTATAAAGAATTCTTGAGCCAATATTTTTTGTGGGAGCAAAAGTGCAAGTTATGTAACATCTTATTTCCCCATTTTCCATAGTTTTTATTCTTTAGTGGTATATGCTTTGTTGTCAGTAAAATAAATCATTTTATTTAGAAGGACGTCATACTTCTTTCCACCACCCAAAAATTCCAGGCAAGTTGCTGTTAAAAATAAAAATCGTAACAAGAAGAAAACAGGGACTCAAGAGTTATTTGGAATGCTGTTACATACTTAAACTAGCTTGTTGATATTCGTATGCTCTCCATCTCTCACCAATCATATCTTCTTCTATATTAAAAGAAAATACAAGATTATGTAACAATGTTCAGAATAATGGAGACAACAATGTATTTATAATATTATGTTACTAGTAGTTGCTTAATAGTTACTATTAAGTAACCATCCTCAGGAGGGCAGGGGAGACCCAAGGATGCCATTGTGCCCAGAGAAGGTTATTTATTAGTTAGTTAGTATTTATTTGTATCCCACCTTTATTATTCTTACAGGTAACTCAAGGCAGCAAACACATCCAATATACTGGTACCTCCCTCCTCCTATTTTCCTCAAAACTCCCACCCTATGAGGGGAGTTGGGCTGAGTATGTATAATTGGCCCAAGGTCACCCAGCTGGCTTTCATGCCTAAGGCAGGATTTGAACTCATGTTGTCCAGCTTTCTAGCTGGTACCTTTGCCACAAGACCAGATTATCATAATAATCAAATTCATATAGGCACGTATTTCCCCAAAAGGGTATTATGGACAACAGGCAACAATAAATAAAGCATCCAACATAAAAATGATAAAATCTAAATGCTCACAGTAATAAATAGCATAAAAACAAAAATAGTAATCCTGGGTGGATAAAATTGGCATTCTTAGTAGTTGAGACAAGACAGATCTCTGCCCCCCCAGCAAACCCCAGGCCTGCCAGGATCACCAGATCTTGACAGCTTTATGGAAAGTCAAAATGGAGACATCATTTCTCCTGATGTCTACCAGTCTCCTGGCCCACTTGACCTTTTAAATAATTTTTTAAATTAATGTAATTAAATAAAAACTAGCATAAGATAAAAGTAAAGGTTCCCTGGACATGCATGCTAGTCATTCCTGGCTCTAGGGGGCGATGCTCATCTGTTTCCATTCCGAAGAGCCAGCACTGTCTGAAGACGTCTCCGTGGTCATATGGCCAGTATGACTAGATGCCGAAGACGCACTGAGTGCGGTTACCATCCCAGAACTTTTTACATGCATTCAAATTGCTAGGCTGGCAGAAGCTGGGACATATAACAGGGTGCTCACTCGGTTACACGGTGCTTGGGATTCGAACCACTGAACCACCAAAATGCTGATCTTCTGATCGACAAGCTCAGCATCTTAGCCACTGAGCCACCGTGTCCCTTAAAACGAAAAACTAGCATACTGCAAAGCAAAACACCAGCTTCTAGCAACAATACTACAGAGTGCTGTAGAAGTCTCACTACACTGATTAAAAAAAAACTTTAAAAAGATTTTCTTCTTACTTGTGATACCGCTACATGCTTTCAAACACGTTTCTTCCTGTTCGAAATTATTTTTGTTGCCTTCACAGCCTCCATAGGTGAAGCGACCACACTTCTCAGTGATAGGGTTGTAGTACCAGCGAGGTATACTTTCTTCACATCGTCCAGTGTCGGGCTTATTCACACAATAAGCTACCAGAAAGAAACAAGAAATATTGTTAGCTATTAATTAACTGTACTCCCAATTCTATGGACCTATCATGATTAAGTATTTGACAAAGCCATTAGCGCTCAGAGAATTGGCCTACTACCTGTGTAGCACAACTAGCTTTAAAACCTAAAATGTATGACAGGTAAACCTTGACCTATAACCAGTTGTTCAGTGATCTTTTAAAGTTACAATGGTGCTGAACAAATGGTAGCTTTGACCAGTTCTTGGAGTTCTGTTTGTCCCAGTCAGGTGATTAAGATTTGGGTGCCTGACAACAGGTTCGCACGTTCGACCAGTTGCTTTTGACCCTGCAATCACATGAACATCATTTGTAACCTTCTCTACAGGCTTCCCCAGAAAGTCAATGGGAAAGCTGGCAGGGTAGGTAGAAAGTCACTGGGGAAAGTCTTCCCAACCAGGCACCATCCTCTAACCCCTCTGCCTTTGTGCCATGCTGACCAATAGTGCATCCCTACACACACATCTTGACATGTCGTACTTGTCACAACTACCCCGATCAATACTTCTTGCACACATCTTTGCACCCTTCCAGTCCCAGGTCTTTTGCACATCCTTGCACACCATTTCCAAACTCCTACACTCACACTCTCTCTCACCTGACACCAATCATTCACCTGCCTGCTGACTTTCCCACTGACTTTGGTTGTAGTAAGCCAGCAGTAAATTTCTTGCCTTAACAATGACCACGGGATTCAGTTAACGATGGCAACCAGGAATGCAAAAATCGCTGTTGCTAAGCAATGCAGTTGCATTTTATGCACTGCTTGGCAACAGATGTTCCAGTCCCAATTGCTATCATAAGTCAAGGTCTATTTGTATTAATTATAATAGAAATATTAAACATACTAAATTTATATGCTGCTTGACCCTCGATGACTCTAAAATTTAAATTTTAGAGAAATACTATACCTTGCATCATTGTTATAATAGTTATTGTTCTTTTGCAACAGTTAGCTAATCCTAAACATTACAGGATGAAGGCCAGTTAACAAACATTCAGAGAAGGTTTCATCTTTTTATGCAACTTATCAAAAATTCTAAAAAATATATAACAACGATTAACACTATTACAAAATGACATAGTTTCATGATTTCATTCATTGTGCTTATGTGACAAACTCTGCACTCCCCCTCTGGCAAGTATGATGTGCCCCAGATGGCCTTTGGGGCTTATGAACTAGAAAAGAGGCTATGGAAGATCTCAGGGCTACCAAGTCCTTCTCAGGCGCTAGGAAGACCTCTCTAACACCAGATTTGCACTTGAGGCTTCACACAGGTTATTTGAAGTCTTGGCTAGGACGCATCCTGATTACAACTAACAAAGCCAACTAAAGCGAGTATAAGCTTAACTGTAACAATGAATTGCTATTGTTACTTCTTTGTAACAAGTTCTACTTATTACAGTTTACTTAAGACTTTGCGATAGTGGGGAATATCTGTAGTTTGGGTGTAGATGGGAGTGAAAGTTCATTCTCCAAGTTTGTGGGTTAGTTTCCAAACATTTAGTTACCAGGCGAGAATGAACCTTCACCCTCATTACACAAGACTGCCACAAGCAAATTTACTACATGTCCATATTTATACTATATTTGACTTTACAGTTCCACAATTTTTTTGCCTTTAGCTATTTTAACTATCAAATTGTGCTGCTTAAAGCAGATCTGTGTTTATAGAAACATGATGCTTCAAAACACTTGACTGTTGGACAATAGCCAATTGAGCATATCTATTGATGTGACAGATTTCCCAATAATAAAAGTTATTCAAGATTACACTCAAATATGTCCAGAGTAGTTAATTCCTTAACAGAATCCAGTTCAAATTCTACATAAATACAGCCATCTTCTTAAATTATATTTGGAGAGATGCAAACATAGATTTTTAAAATGTGTTAAAATTTCTTTCAAATGTAATTCAAATATAAAATGTATTTTATAACATACTTACTTCTGTTAGAAGGATTGATTTTCTGTAACTTATTGAATCCTTGGATATCTAAAAGAGACAACGAACAGACCTCAGAATGATTTACAGACATGCATTTTATTTGAAAATGGAAATCATTCTTATGAAGTGACATATTTTAAAATCATTTTTGTCTGGTCATTTTGTTAATTCCACTCTGCCTCTATTTCTTTACCTCATTTGCTAATCTGCTTTAGACAGAACTAGGTATATTTAATACTAAATTTTAAAACAATATTAAAACAATATTTGAGGCCAATCAATCCAAGGATGATGTAAGAAAAGAGAGGTTTTATAATAATAATAAATGATGTAAATATTCTACTTTATTTTGCAGAACATTAATTTGCTGTTTTGTTTCGCATAATAAATAATTACATTTTTCTTTCTTAGAATAGAAAGCTATGCATGACAGTGGAGTGCAATTAAATGCACATTAAAAACAGCCATTTGAAATTCAAAATAAGCTATTCTGACCTTTTAGGAAGCTCTCCAACCTTACCAGAATTGTTTTAAGTTAAAAACAATCCTATTTCAATCTCATACCCGAGCCAGAACAGCTTCTCTTCAACGTAATTTCAAACTTATACCCACACACACACACACACACACATATGTGCACATTAAGAGGTGCACTATATATATTATTTTCTCCCAGGAAAATTAAGAGGCCAGATCACACTAAAGGTCTATCCAACAGCTCGACTACATTTTCACAGTAACCTTTAGATGCCCATCAAAAATTGAACAGAAAAAAATGTAAGTCATATGTTTGGAGTATGCCGTATTTTTCGGAGTATAAGACGCACGAGTATAAGATGCACCAAGGTTTTGAAGAGGCAAATTTTTAAAAAAGTAGGTAGGTAGATAGAGGGATACAGAGAGAGAGAAAGAGAGAGAAATACTGTAAGTACTTAGGGAGGGAGAAAGAGAGAGTAGGTAGGTTGGTAGGTAGAGGAAGAGAGAGAGAAATTCAGTAGATACATAGGTAGGGAGAGAGAGAGAGTAGGTAGTAGGTACGTAGGTAGATAGAGGGGGAAAGAGAGAAATACAGTAGGTAGGGAGGGAGAGAGAGTAGGTAGGTAGGTAGGTAGATGTTTCCAGGTGTATTTATCCATGTACTGGAGAAGGAAATCGCTAACAATCTGCAGACTTTGTTTCTGCTGGCACAGCACTTGATCAATGTAATTCTCATCAATCAGTTAAAGAGCTTTCCAAAAGGGGAAAAAAACTTTTTGCACTCTGCAAACCTTCCCAAAACGGCCATTTTTTCACGAAAATGCCCCCCACTTTTTTAAAGGCATGAATAGCCTTGGGGGAGGGCTTACAGAATGCTCCTGGGGGATGGAAGGCAAAAAACGGCCCATGTTTTGCTCATTTCTATCCTCCCCAGCCGCCAGGAGCGCTTTGAAAGCCTCCATAAGGGTATGCAGTCATTTTGGTGAAGGGGCGGGGCTTCAGGAGGCAAAAAAAATTCTGTATTCAGTGTATAAGACGCACACAGATTTTCAGCCTCTTTTTTGAGGAAAAAAGGTGCATCTTATACTCCGAAAAATACGGTACTTAAATTTAATTTCTTGTAGTGAGCAGTGTTGGACTCAGTGGCCTTCAATTCCATTTCTATTTTTATTATTCCAAGACAGTTAAGGGGTCACCAACTTACATGAATCACAAGATTTTTCATCTGACCCATCTCGGCAATCTAGTCTCTCATCACATTCCAGAATTTTTTCAATGCAGCAGCCATCTTCACATTTGAAATAGTCTGGTAGGCAGTTTCCATTGCATGCTGTATGAGAAACATGGGTTAGTTCACAAGAGTTCTCAGCAAAGATGATTTATCTTTGTGACATTCTGGTAAAAAGATCTCTTTCTTCTTTGGGCACAGCAGAAATAGAGTACAGGTAGGCCTCGAGTTACAACATTTTGTTTAATGACGGTTGCAACAGCACTGAAAAAAGTGGCCCATGACTGTTTTTCACACTTGCTTGGCAACTGACTCATATTTTACAATGGTTGGAGTGTTCCAGGATCATATTGAATCTTTTGTGACCTTCTAACAAGTAAAGTTAAGGTGTGGCTCAATGGGTAAGACCTTAAGCTTGTTGATCAGAAAGGTAAGCAGTTCGAATCCCTAGCTCCACATAATGGAGTTAGCTCCTGTTACTTGTCCCAGCTTCTGCCAACCTAGCAGTTCGAAAGCAGGTAAAAATGCAAGTAAAAAAAATAGGAACCATCTTTGGGGGGAAGGTAAGAGCGTTCCGTGCACCTTTGGCATTTAGTCATGCTAGCCACATGACTACGGTGATGTCTTCAGGCAGTGCTGTTTTTTTGGTTTTGAAATGAAGATGACCACCGCCCCCTAGAGCCAGGAACGACTAGCACATATGTGCAAGGGGAATCTTTACCTTTACCTTAGATTTACTTAACAACTGTGTTACTAACTTAACAACTGCAATGATTCACTTAACCTCCCATGAGAAAGATCATAAGATGGGGCAAAACTCACTTAACAATTGTCTCACCTAGCAACAGAAATTCTGGCTTCAATTGTGCTTGTAAATTGAGGAATAATTCTAGAAAAGTATTTGCAAGTGCTTCACTGCAGTGCTACAAAAACACAGAGTATGATATCAACCAAAGATATACCACTAAAGCTCATGTCAGTAAGGAAGTTCAAAAGAAGTTTGAATGCTATCATGGAAAAGTACAGAAGAACTTACTTGGTTTTTGGGGTTTTTCAACAGCACCTGAAAAGAAGGAAATTAGAGTGAGAATATTGTCCTTTCAATTTTTCAACTAGCTCTCATCGAAACATTCAATCCAACCACTTTACCAATTTAGTTTAAAAAACAAAACAAAACAATAGGGATTAGAGATCTGCCAATCCAGGAAATACAAACCACGTCCTTTATGTACTTTTCTGGTATGCATAGAAGCATACCAGAAGCATACATCTAATGCATAGAAGCCACTTCCAATTATTTCTCCATACAGAGAAACATAGTGGATGCAATACTTTTCATTCAATCAACTGCCAATCGTATGCTTCCCTGTACTGGTATAAATAGAAAGTATCCCTGATTTTATAGCCTCACTCAGCCTTCTTCAACCTGATAATGTCCTCCAGATGTTGAGTGATAGTTAATAGTTGCGGCCCAGCCTTGCTAATTGGGAATTTATGTGGGTTTTAGCCCAGCAAACCCTAAAAGTTCCAGTTTGGAAAAGTTTGGAACCTAATAACTATGTATTGAAAAGCATCGTTTTTTTTGTTATGTGTGATTTGCGGCACTATGGTTTACTAAATAAATCATGATTAAAACATTAGAATGAAGCCAGCCAAATCAGCCTAACTCGATTAAAAGTTATAAGATTCAGTAGGGTCAAAATAATTCTGAATTGGTTAGGTTTCCCCACTTAAATCTCTAAAACAGAGAAACAATATCTTCTAATATACGAACCTTGAACATTCTTGCAGGCAAGATCACATTCCTCTTTTCTTACATAATTGTTCTTGTTGGGATTGCAGCCACCAAAAATGAACTGCTGACACTGCTCTATTTCCGGATTGTAGTACCAGCGAGGGAAGGAGCCTCGGCAGCGTCCCACTTTATAAGGAACCAAGCAATGATCTAGGAAGAACAAGGAAAGTGAATTCTCACAGTAAGGGTAAGAGAAGGCATACATTCTATTCTAGCTGATTTCTCCAGATTTTATGGTGTGGCCAGTTGGAAGAAAGAGGAGAGCAGGCAGCTGTCAAGGAGTATATTCTTCCAGCAGAATCAGTAAATATATTTTAATAGCAAATATGAGATATCAGTGCCCCCAGGGATTTCTTAAGGTTACCTTACAACAGAATATTAAAAAGCCTAAAGTATATCAATATGTCTAGCTATCCCCAAATAAAAGTTTTGGGTCTTTCTTGCCATTTGGTGGGGAAGGGCTAGCATTGGCTTTAAACTATCACATAGTACAAGCATTATTGGGTAAAATATTCATGCTCCATTTTTCTTTTTATATATATTTTGTAATACCCACACACATATATAAATGAAAGTTTATATTCATATTCTTCTTACAAATAAAAAATAAAGAAAGAAGCAATAGATTTCATGGGGAAAACAAGGAAGAGCTTTTTGTTGTTTTAAAATGATGGTGGGAGGAACTTTAACAATTCTAAGAAGTAATTGCATTTTTCTTTGTGTACAAAGGCTCCTGACCTAAGATACCACTCCAATCAACACCATTTCAAGAGCAGACTATTTGGCTATTCATCTGCCTATCTGCCTGTCTAACACTATTCCATATGTGGCTACACTGGAGTCAGTAAAGGAGAGAACAAAGCAGGAAATAATTACATACATCAGAATCACTATCAGCATGACTGAATATTTTCCTGAAAGAGAAGCTCAGAGACTGAAAATCCATATGTCTTTGCCAGTCATTAATAGGTTATTGCATAGAGTGCTGCCTGGACATTGTTCACAACTACCAATTCCATATTTTAAGGACACATAATGTTTTAGGCTTCTTAAAAATGGCCTTAAACATATTTTAGGAATTAATGTACAGTCTACATATTTTCTACCTCAAAATGTGGGCAATCTATGGCACCAATTTTTAGTAAAATGTTATTAGCACCAAAAATCAGATATATCATAGTTAAAACTATGAATAGCTTTGGGGCTATTTCATTGTGTTCCAAAACATTGAAAAGCTAAAGAGAATATTAACTTTTTTAAAAAAGAAAAGTTTACTATCCTTCTTAAAAGCTTACTTTTATTGTTTTCATACTTGTACCCTATATGACTCCTGAGTGTGATCTTGGCTGGCAATCTGCAAAAGCTAAATTGACACGTTTTGATTCCAGGCTAAAAAGTGCATCTACAAATGACTTACCTACAGTCTGATCAGAATTAAGTACAGTGACAGTGATGTTGATGGAGTGTTGCTGATCCGCAGTGTCTGTTACAGTGAATTGGAAGATGTAAATCCCTTCATTCAGATTTGAAAGCATCATAATATCATTCTGTTTCTGAAAGTACAAGGGGAAAAAAAATCAGAAATAAAAATGACCTAAGCAAAAATAGGTCTCCTTAGTTCCCCTCATTTTAGAGTTTATCTATGCAACTCTGAGGGTTGATCATCAAAGATGGTATTTAGCCAGTTCGAACTAGCTTGCCCGAACCAGTAGTGCTGAACTGCGGGTGGGTGCACTCACCCACCCCCGGCTCAAAAACGTCCTATGTAGCCTCATTTTCAACACTGCATACATGCATGATTTATTTGAAAAAATGCTCTAATATTTTTGGGTAAATAGTTTCAATGTCCTTTGATTTACAGTTTAGATGAGCACTTCCCCTAACACTGAGATTGTGTAGGGAATAAATGTATGTGAAAGAAAGAAAAGAAAAGGAGAAGAGAGGGAAAGAAAAGAGAGAGAAAGAGAGAGAGAGGGAGGGAGGGAGGGAGGACTATCGTATTCCTCATCCCATCTTTGTACTTTGAATCTCTCTCAGTTATGTAACATACTTGCTTACATGGGAAAGGGACTAAAACATTGCTTTGATGGGGAGCACTTGTCAGGCATGGAGATGCCCAATATAATTATAATTAATTATTCATGCATGAGTCTTGATGTGTTTCAGTCATATGAGAACTCTTCATGTACATACATCATACTGTTCTATCCATGAACTCTCAGAAATAAGAATCTGTATTTAGATTAGATTTGACTACATTAAATCATGTTTACAACTTTTTAAAGCTGATTTTTTTCAGAACTGAATACAGAAATAATCCATTGTTCAAGCTCACAGTGGTCATGATGATGGAATTGATAATGTTTACAAAAAACTTCAACAACAACTAAATTAGCCAGTCTATAAAAAGATCATCTTTGTTAAGTTGCAAAAATGTACATGATATGAGAAGCCGGCAGGAAATTTCAGCAGCTCCTTGCTGAAAGATATTAAAAGCATCTGGAGGAGTAAAGATAGTTTTTTCTATTACATGGATGGAATGTATTATGGGACGCTGTGGCTCAGTGGCTAAGACGCTGAGTTTGTCGATCAGAAAGGTCGGCAGTTTAGCGGTTCAAATCCCTAGCGCCATGTAATGGAGTGAGCTCACGTTACTTTTCCCAGCTTCTGCCAACCTAACAGTTCGAAAGCATGTAAACATGCAAGTATTAAAATAGGGAACACTTTGGTGGGAAAGTAACGACGTTCCATGTGCCTTTGGCATTTAGTCATGCCAGCCATATCACCATGGAGATGTCTTCAGACAACGCTGGCTCTTTGGCTTTGAAACAAAGATGAGCACCGCCCCCAAGAGTCAAAAATGACTAGCACATATGTGTGAGGTGAACCTTTACCTTTAATGTATTATCAGAGGAAAAAAAGTCCTCATATTAAGTGTATCACATTCTCTACTATATAGTCATGCTGATTCCAAGGAATTTTTAAAAAATCATCAAGTATTTTATAATCTCTATATTGTCTTAATAACAATGTGAAGTTTATTTTTTTTCTTATACCCAATATGGCTACAGTGGCTTAAGTGGAAATTTTTAAAGTGCCATAGAAGGGAATCTTAGTAGACTGTTGATATACCTTACCTCCATTACCACTGAGGAATCACCAGAAAGAAGTGTCCATTCATAATTCACAATGCCATTATCATCAGTACTTTCTGAGCCATTCAATATTACTGGTTCATCCTTGGACTGGACCCTCACATCCATCCAGGCTTTAGCTTTAGGCGGCTGATCATCTAGTTTAAAAACAACAACAATCAGAATGCATTAATTTTAAAAAATCTCACAGGACGTAAACATTCATGTTGACCAACTTGACCAAGAACAATACGTATTGCAATCCAAGGCAATTTTAGTGAAACCACATTAAACATCAGCCACATTCTTGAGTTTCTCATGTGTTATAAAAATACAAAACAATTCGGGGGCAGGGGGCTTTCAGTTAAAAACAAGCTGATAAAATATTCAAAGGTGTTCTTTAGTCAGTAGCTCCAAACAGAAAGATGCTTGCTGTCACTTAGTAAAATAAACATTTGAAATGTTCAGAAAACATATAGAAGGACTTGGTAAATCCCAGACGTGGCTTCATGTTACATACTTTTTCTTTTTAAATATGCAGAAAACCTGACATAGTAATGTGTTCAAACCGAAGCCATAAATTATTACAGAGATGTAAGGGCTACTGCTCTATGATAATTCTATGGATAAAGAAACGATACAAGTAGTTCAGCAGAATCACTGTCTAGTCATTCAGAACTTGGCAAAACAGGTTTAAGAGGCTCAAAGTAGGAAGGTACAAAATCTGTGCATGGGAATAACATTTTAGGATGATCCATGCCTAGACCAACAGCATGTCTCATCCAGGCAAGGACTCAAAAGATTTGTGTTCAGGGGGGGGGGGCAGCATTTTAGGATGGGAATCCAGTGTGGAATGGATAAGGCTATCAGCAGTGGCTAGTGAGATAAAGAAAGGTATAGAAAGATTGGGGAAGGATAGTTGTGCTGGCTGTGTATGTGACTAACAGGAAGAGACTGATCGGAAGAAAGATGAAGAGAAGACAAAAAAAAAAGCTTTTCCCATTCAACTTATCTTATCTTGTAAGATCCTAAGGTTTGCACTTTAGCTGAAACCTAAAACCAAAATGTTCTGAGCTTTAGCCCAGCTAAGCAGTAACCTGTCCAGATTAGTTTGCTTGAACAATAATGTTTTTGTTTTGTACACAAAACAAAACACACATTTTTTCAAAGCCTGAATTCAAAGCAAAATAAACCAGTCACTCAACCGAATGTATTTGGCTAACAGTAGCAAGATGCATGACACTGGGCCAAAGATGCAAATTAAAACATAGGTAGGATAGACCAGGTGGATGTCGTCAGCTGTTTTCAAGTTGTCTCTAGGAAACACTTAGAGCGAACTTGGCTTCAGAAATAGTACTCTGGCTAGTACCCTTGTTCCATCTCTTGTCCTATGAAACACCCATGAGATCAATTAGTGGTGACCATCTGTTCTCAGTGTTCAATAGGTAAACTTGAACAAATTAAGCTCCCTTATGTAGGTGCTCAAAGTGGTATGAATCTGGAAGAGCTGTGACCAGAATAATGTCTGCCAGGTAAGAGCTTTTATGCATATGCACCTAACATCATTTAGTAGTATAAAGAAGAATGTAAGTATGCCCAATAAAATAGCATAATGTGATGAAACAGATGCAAGATTAGGTTTAATCAGTTACTTCATTTTAATCATATCACTTCCATCCCTGCTTCCGGGAGACTGTCTCTTCCTTTTTCCTTGTTTCTATTAAAAACCAACTAAAGGTGATGAAGGATACCAATTTTAAAAACAGAGAGAGGCTAGATTCTTCAGCAATGCTATTATATCAAATCTGTGTCTTTTCTTCTTTCATTCCATTTGAGCATAGAAAAAAAGAAATAAGATACTGAAACATCAGTCTTAGATCCTATGAAGACAGATACAGTATATACAATCTGACGATATCACATGTGGTTATATCGCATATACTGTATATGAAGTCATGTACTTATCTATTTAAGACTGTTGAAGCCATTTTTCTCCACTAAAAGGCATCATTCACAGAAATTGCAAGCTAATGCCTCTTACATCCAAAGACCTTACTAAGGAATTTCTGTCTGTAGAGTAAGGCTGTTGTTTAATGATCAAATTCTCCCAGACTCATAAATGCCAACAGCTCAACTGGCTACTTCTGTAGCTGCTTTACCTCTTACAATACTGATCAGACTGTGGAACATGTGGAAATACTGTACTCATTTTCTCCTCTACCACTGGTTTCTGCCACACCCATCCTCATTTTTTGCCTCCTACCTTGTTGACTTATACTAGTTGCAGAGATTGATGGGAAGTTCGACCTACAGAATTCAAGTATTGAGGCAATCTTGTTACTGCTTAACACAGAGTTGAAGCATTGTAATGATCATAAGTTTGAGGACCAGTCATAAGTCACTTTGTTCAGCATTGCTGTAACTTTGAACAGTCATTAAACAAATGGATGTAAGTTGAGGATTACCTAGAGATAATCATGTTTATGCTAATATAAATTACAATACAATACAATAGCAGAGTTGGAAGGGACCTTGGAGGTCTTCTAGTCCAACCCCCTGCCTAGGCAGGAAACCCTATATCATTTCAGGCAAATGGCTATCCAACATCTTCTTAAAGACTTCCAGTGTTGTGGCATTCACAACTTCTGGAGGCAAGCTGTTCCACTGATTAATTCTTCTAACTGTCAGGAAATTTCTCCTCAGTTCTAAGTTGCTCCTCTTTTTGATTAGCTTCCACCCACTGCTTCTTGTTCTACCCTCAGATGCCTTGGAGAATAGTTAGACTCCCTCTTCTTTCTGGCAACCCATGAGATATTGGAACACTGCTATCATGTCTCCCCTAGTCCTTCTTTTCATTAAACTAGACAGTTACTGCAACTGTTGTTCATATGTTTTAGTCTCCAGTCCCCTAATCATCTTTGTTGCTCTTCTCTGCACTCTTTCTAGAGTCTCCACATTTTTTCTACATCATGGCGACCAAAACTGAATGCAGTATTCCAAGTGTGGCCTTACCAAAGCATTAAAAAGTGGTATTAACACTTCATATGATCTTGATTCTATCCCTGTTTATGTAGCCTAGAATAAAGCAGCTTTATTGGCAGCTGCTACACACTGCTGGCTCATATTTAAATGGTTGTCCACTAGGACTCCAAGATCCCTCTCACAGTTACTACTATTGAGCAAGGTACCACCTATATTGTACCTGTGCATTTTGTTTTTCTTGCCTAAATATAGAACCTTACTCTTTTCACCATTGAATTTCATTTTATTAGAGAGTGCCCAATGTTCAAGTTTGTCAAGATCCTTCTGTATCTTAAGCCTGTCTTTTGGAGTGTTGGCTATTCCTGCCAGCTTGGTGTCATCTGCACATTTGATGAGTTCCCCATTTATTCCCTCATCCAAATCATTGATGAAGATGTTGAAGAGTACTGGGCCTAAAACAGACCCTTGGGGTACTCCACTGCATACTTCCCTCCATGTAGATGCAGGTCCAGTGAGGACTATATGTCGAATATGGTTGGTCAACCAGTTATGAATCCATCTGGTGGTGATGGACCAACCCACATTCTTCTACTTTATCTAGTAGTAGGTTATGGTCTACCTTATCAAATGCCTTGCCAAGTAAGCTACATTGACGGCATTCCTCTGGTCCACTAATTTTGTCACTTTGTCAAAGAATGCAATAAGATTAATCTGGCATGATCTGTTTTTGACAAACCCATGTTGGCCTTTGGCTATTACTTTGTTTGCTTCTAGGTGTTCGCTAATTCATTGCTTGATTATCTTTTCCAGTATCTTTCCTGGTATTGAGGTCTGGCTGATAGGTCTATAGTTTCCTGGATCTGTGGGTTTTTTTTCCTTTTTTGAAGATGGGAACCACATTAGCTCTTTTCCAGTCCTCTGGCAGTTCCCCGGTGCTCCAGTATCTCTGAAAGATATAGTTCAGTGGTTCTGAGATCTCGTCTTGACAGTTCCTTCAGAACCTGGGAGTGTAATCCATCCGGTCCTGGTGATTTGAACTCGTCTAGGGTAGACAGGTACTCACTTACCATTTTCTTCCCTATTTCAATTTGTGCTCCTAATCTGATTTTTGTGGTGCTGTTTTGATAGGTTGGACTGTTTTATCCCTTTGTGTAAAGACAGATGCAAAAAATGACTTAAATAGTTCTGCTTTCACCCTGTTGCTTGTCACCTTCTTTCCACTTTCTCCCAGCAATGGACCAATTGTTTCCTTAACCTTTTTCTTGTCTTTAACTATTAACTTTTAACTATTACTATTAAACTGTAGGATAATTATTAATTTCCTATCAATCAAACTTGCCCAGATTGTTTCAAGAGATAAAACAGTACTTTGATCATATTTAGGGAAGGTTTTGGTAGGATTTATAATAAGGACAATAAGTTATCATTTGTATTGATCCATTTCTCAGAGAACTGTTTACCAGAAACTTCCCAAAAGAGCTTTAACATGCTATAGGTAGGAGGTCCTTGACTGGAAAAATTGTGCAATTAATTATTTTCCCTAGCCAATCAGGAAATATGCTGTTGTCCAGACTTCAGTATATCTGACATCATCCATAAAATTTCCCTGACGACTGCCTGGAAATTTTAACTAGACAATTTTCTACTGTATTCTAACTTTCTACCAAGGAATGTCAAATATGACTCTTCTACCATAAGCAGCTAACGGAAGTTGCTCATAACAAGTAATCTTAAAATCCTTTGCTTACTGTAAATGTTTTGTTCTTATACTAACTCTGCTAATAATTAAATGGCTTATCTGGCTATATAACTGTGGGGGTGAGGGATGGGGGAGATCTCTACCTTTTCAAGTATTTCAGAGATTCTTATAAAACATCATACACATATCAGCCCCAACTTCCATTTTTCTAGTTCAGTTCCCTATGCAATGAAAACAGCTGTTCTGAGGACAAGAGTGTAAAACACTCAAGGTGGAAAACAACATTAAAAGACAAATGAAACCCACTTCAAAACCTACAAATATTTAAATTGTAAATTTAAAATGGAAGCCTTTAAAATCTTCAAGAGATGGGAAAGTCTTGAGTTTTAGTCATTTCTGGACTATTCTTATCCCAAACAGCTTCTGCTACATAATTCCACAAATCAAGCCATGTGGGATACCTATAAAACTTTTGTT